GTAACAATTCATTATAGCGCACGCCAAGTCTTCTCAGTTTGCTGTCTTCATCGTCGTTGCTTGGTAACGGCCTTCGCTAGGCGTCGCATGGAGTTTCTTCTGCTTGAGTGCTCACGTCCTCACTGGATGGCAGGTAGCTAGCAACTAACTCTACTCAAAGTCGAACACCTTCACTTTCAATCTTGTATTTAAGCATCCTGTTGCATTACAATATTCAACCTTGTTTACATACAATTTTCCGGCGATAATGGAACTATTTATTTCTTCATTCACATTTGCTTTAGCTATTAACACAACATATTTCGGCCCAAACGGCCATCCACAGGTGTCCCATTATGCCAAACCTGCTACACTGCACTGAGTATTGTCCATTCCACACGTGCCTAACTGAACATTTCGTGATTAAACTGTTACAACTGCAGTAAATTGTTGTGCGTTAAAATCTTACATGGTACAGTTCACTTCTATTTAAAATCAATTAAAAATCATTAAAATTTTTATTTATATAAAACTCCTAATTCCACCTCATAAGGGGCGTCGTCCACTTGTCTAAGCAATATACCCTTCTTCGGTTGTTTACATTGCAGCGGTTCACCCTTTCCATAGGCAAGCCCGTTATGTTTCTTCAGCAATTTTGCTCCTTCCTTGTCCGTTGTTATTACAAGCCGTGCATGGTGTTGTCTTCGCCCGTGTAGACGTCTGCACACTATAGCGTAGTTGGTTGAGGCACTACGTTACAAGCTGGAAGGTCGCGGGTGCGAGTGGACATTTTCAATTTACCTAATCTTCCCAGCTGCACTATGACCCTGAAGTCGACTCAGGCTCTAACAGAAATAAGTACCAGGAATCTTCCTGGAGGATAAAGGGTGGCCGGCGCGTAAGGATGACAACTTTACCGCCATCTTTGAGCCGATTATCTAGATAATGTGGGACCCTCAACGTCTCACGTCCCTATGGGCGTTCACGGCCTGTTACAGGGATAGCTTTACCCTTTTTGCTGCCTACAGTTAAATACTTTACTCCTGTAAATAATGCATATTTAACTCATATAGTTTTATTTTTTACTTTGTTTTTAAAGACGTTAACAATTTAATTTAGTACGGTTATATTTTTTGTTATGTTCTCGTTATTTTCTTAAGTTACACTGCGACTTCTTGGTGTCGGTTAATTTTGTTTGTAACACAACAACAATTCTACGACTCCTCATGCTTCAAGGGCACTAGTTTCCCCTTTAAGTAAATCGCCATTTTGAGTTAAGCAAAATAGAGAATAGAACTCTACACATGTTACTAACCCAGTAAAATGAGCCCATACGTGCAAGCATACTGAAACAAAATGCAAATGAAACCCCACAATTTAATTATCCTAAAATATTTAGTCGAATCTAATAAACGTATATCATCAACCTAGTATGGACACAGAATATCGTATGATATCTGCTCTTATAGAACAAAATATAGGCCTAAGTGCACAGCTAAAGAATGGTACAAACGTTGGATATTTTTAGGGTCCACGGACACAGCCCTACTGTCACTATTAAGTTTTACGTGCGTGACGTTTAACTAGTAGCCTACTGGGCGTCGGAATGGTTCTTCTATAGAATCACACTCTCCTCTAGGTCAACATTAAAGAGTCTGCACTTGATAAAATTAGAAACCATCACATAACACGTCACTGCACTGAAGAAAATACTAGAACAACAGCTGACAATTTATAATACATCGAAATCACTTACCTGTTCCTGATTATGATAATGTTAATCAAACAAATATTCTGTGTATTCAGACTAAACATAGATCTGTAAACAAATCCAGGCCTTCTCTATGCTTTATAATCATTCTTGAAGAGGACTCTCAATCACTTTTCATTGTACACACGAAGCAAGTGACATTTTCGCCCAGAATAAGCCGCCCTGCTGATGTTGGCTTTTCTAATCTTAGCTCTTCTATTCTTGTTCACCTTGAAGGTGCAGTAACTTTTTGGGCATAAGACGCCAAAAATGATCTAAATTTTAGCAAAAGAGCAAATACCGTAAAACAGAATCTTCAATCACGTCGATTGCTGATGGGGTCTACAAATAATATAACTTACAGCAACGGAACTGTTGATGGACTAAGTTGATTGCATAAGGAGCTTTATAATTTGAACTCCACCAAATTAAAGAGGATGAGACAAGGCAGTGAACGTGGCAAGAATGGGTATGACGAGGAACGCAGAGACTTTTTAGCTTCTAAATCTAGAGAGAACAGACAACTGAAGAGACCTTGGAGTAGATGTGAAAATACTGTTAAAACTGAGTTTAAAAAAATGGACTGTAAAGGGTTGAGTGGATTCACCTGGCTTAAATTATGATTCAGTGATATGCTCTCGTAAGAAATTACTAAACTGAAAACGATAACAGAGACTGAATTTAATAACATCCACTGTCAAACACTAGCATAAGATCTGCGGGGAGCTTATTCAGAACACTGTACATAGAGCTGACGTTTGTAAAAAATGCTATAAAACAATGAGCATCTGGGCATCTGCCAAATAACCTGGTATTTTTTTCTTTAGACTTGTTCCTCTTTTAAAACATAAAAGAAAGTTTGTTACAGTTTCGAGTTGCCAGGCATTCGTTACACGGGGCGCCAATTCCTTGCCCTCAAAATATCTGTCCTATATTTTAGTTGTCCTTATACATTGACTTAAAGACGAACAGAATATTACTATAATATAAAAACTTCAAATAAGAGTTCCATTGTCACGGCAGGAAGGGGACGCAGATGAATACGTGCAGAACTAATGCAATCAAAGAGAAGAAAATTGGAAACAGTGAGGACAGGTACATAAAGAGTCTCTCTACAAGGAATGCATTATCTCGATAGATCCTTCGTTTTCAAAGCTTTGGGTCGAATTCAGGCCTGATAAAGGACCTTGCTAAATTCTAAAACCAATGATCCTCATAGATTTCCATCATATAACCACATCACGACAAGGGCAACGAGTGAAAAAGGCAACAATACTGTATTGTTGCCTGCAGTATTTGAGGGCTGCGAAACAATGAATTATAACATAAGAAAGAACTGGTAGAAATGAATGCTGATATAGTCGCGTCTATTATTTCTAGAGGGCAAATTAAATGAAATGGAAGGAAAAAAATGCCATAATACACATTGTCACATGGTTAAATACTCAAGTTAAGATGGGCTTCTTCTGGAAATGCCGTCTTTTTCAAGTGAAATTCATGAACTGAATGCACAGTTACAATTTTGTTAATGTGAAAGACATCTTTTGGCACCAGAATGGGCAACAGATGTAGGTAGAGTGACAGTCGTATAACACACATTTCATCACCGACATGTTGGCTCAAACTTTAACATTTCTGACTTTTATTCGGCAAGTAGCCAGTTCGAATCTCGGTCGCGAAACCAGCCATACTGAATAATACTATATTTAAGCATCCTGTTGCACTATACACCTCTGTATGTAATAATACAAATGCCGTCGTGAATGCAACAATTTATTTGGTTGTAGTTCTTTGTATTTTCTTCCTCTACACTACATGTTTCGGCAGTAACTGGCCATCATCAGGTGCATTTTTCACTACGTAGCTGTCACACTGCACACAATCCAAAATCTAAAACATCAGTCTGTCAGTTTTGTTTAATATCTCGCCAACATACGCTCGTAAATTTTATTTTAGAATTCCAGTTTAAAATTAAAAAATAATTAAATTAAAATTAAAAAAATTAAAAATTTAAATTGAAATTCTAAAATCAAATTGATGAGCGTATGTTGGCGAGATTTTAAACAAAACCGTCAGACTGGTGTTTTAGATTTTGGATTGTGTGCAGTGTGACAGCTACGTAGTGAAAAATACACCTGATGATGGCCAGTTACGGCCGAAACATGTAGTGTAGAGGAAGAAAAGACAAAGAACTACTACCAAATAAATTTTTGCATTCACGACGGCATTTGTATTATTAAATATACTGAATAATATTTATCGTGGACTTCCTCAGTTTATCCAGGCTTCCTTTCATATCCTTTCCAATTCACCACTCATTATTCATACTCCCATTCGATGCTATATAATCTGGGCTACTGACAGCGTCGATAAATAAACTGTAATAAATAACTGAAATAGAAGTGTCACGAAGCGGGCCAATGTTTAAGGGCTAGAAATATAAGGAAAACTCAGTTTCATAAGCCCTATATTAAGTAAAATTGCTCTGGGATTAATCAATATAAACAAAATAAAAATTTATTGCAGTCTACCATTCCGAATCTCAGCGAAATGGGCCTGGTAATTTGGGAGCTGTTATGAGCACAGACATGAAGCGAATAGATGAGTTTAGGTTCCTTTTTCAAACTCGCACAGGAAGTTTACAGAAATTGCAGTAATTATTATTATTATTATTATTATTAGAGGGGGTGGGTTTCCCCATGCACTTAGACCAGTTATTGGTCCACTGTGCGTCCTCCTTTCATTTCTACTGTCGCCACACCTTCCCGGTACTGGTGCGTGCTATCAGCCCCGTTCAGCCAACGAGGTCGGCCGTCGGTACCTGATATTTCCCCCATCTACCAGAGGCATTGGAAACTACTTGGGCGGGGAAATTGTTGCCTAATTTTGCTCAGAGGTTTCCTAGAGACATGAGGATCTTTTACGTGCCGTAAATCTAAGACACGGGACCCACGGCTTAAAGTCCCTCCCGGAGGACTTGTTCCCTGAATTTTTCCGGCCTGAAAAATTTCATGACCTCCGCCGGGTTTGAACCCGCGTAAATGGCTGTAATAGATATAAGCATGTCTGCTTCATTCTGACTAAAACCTATGCTGATATAGGGGCTAAACATTCAAGTATTAAAACATATACTCGTATATTAAGAATTCCAAAATGATCGTGCATGTGAAGACTGGAAATGTACTGTACATTAATGGCCGAAGTTCAGCATGCAAGGGTGTGTTTTATTTACAAAGTATATTAAAGCATTTTACATGGCGTGGTTTTTGTTTCTCAGGGCTGTGACAGAGTATTGCTATTTTCTGGGATGTAATATATATCTGTTAAATTATACGAGGTACAACCCATAGGACAGTAATCTTCATTTTATAGAGTACTCCAAGGCAAATTATGAAACATGATAAATAAGCTAATATATCCTGAACATCTAATTCAAATTTTAAGCATCCTTTATGAAAGCACTTCTATCGAAACTGACAAGAGAGTAAAACAAAAGCCCGTTAATGAAGGGGTGAGACAAGGTAGCCCTGTGGCACATTTAGGGTCTATATTGATGTAGTTGTACGTTAGTGGCAGGAACGATTAATGTTAAGATGGATTAGTTGATTTTAAATGGGATACTGTTTACAGACTTATCAAGTTTTATTGCTTAAAGCATGGTAATATACAAATAGCTATTCATTAATTAAAGCACAGAATAAGTACATACAACTTAGAAACTCATAATTAATGGGATTTTGGAGAAAGTACTCGAAGATGAAAAATAATGATAAATAATACTAATATTTAACAGTAACGCGGTTACTGCTGCAATGTGTCATGCGATTATGATAAGGACCTGATTAATATGTTATATAAATTTCAATATAGGTCAGGCTGCACTGACACTAACAGATCAGCAAAAAAAAAAAATCAACAGAAAAACTCAATTAAAAGTTCACGCAAAAGTATGGCAGTCCTAGTATTAAAATATAAAAATTGTGATTTTGAAACATGTTGGGAAACTTTTGTGTCTTTGTACATAACAATATAACATCCAGTGAATTGTGAAAATTTTAAAACAAATAAAGAAACCAAGGAATAAAAATATATTAACACATCTGCATAGAGCCAAACAGAATATCTCAGAGAATTATAACATGCATCTGGTTGGCCATACAGATGGAGGTCATCCTAGAAAGTGGGAGGATTCCTTGTATATCAGAATGCACCAGATGATAACAATATAAGTTAACAATACATTTTTGTACAAGAGATATGATTTATATGGGGAATGGAGACAATGGTGAACTTTGTGATTTGTATGGTTTACTTGGAACTGCAAGGATATTTCGAGCAAGGAAGACTGTGATTCAAACATAACTTGAACAAGAGGAACACGAAATGATGACAAGAGTACAGGTGGGGAAAAGTATTAGAAATCATTGCTAGTATTACTCATTCAATATCCATCCTTCCTGCCATCTGAATAATTGCAAAACAGACTAAACTGATTCATACAAACTTCTCCACAGCATCTATATGTACAAGGTTGGACCAGCTGCTTTATTTCCTGGAATACAGGTAATTTTAGATGACATTTCTTTTAAAAATGTATCCCATGTGTCATAGTTTTACTTTTCATACACTTGTCACTGAAAAATAGATCAATTATAAACTGCAAGTTAAAAAAGGCATCAACTTTATACTTCTTAATTTCACAAACTGAAATAGAATATCTAAAGTCACTGAAGTGTTACACAAAATGTGCTAATGTTAATAACAATGATATCACAACGAATTATGATTCTGTCACATTTGAGGTCCAAAGGAGCTGTGGACTATTTAAGGATCCACAGAAATGTATGAGAACTCCAGCAGACTGATAAGCCATTACACATCTTTCAGTTACTATAACAAGAATGCTAGATAATTTCATAAAGCACAAAATTAAGATTCGAAAGTGAAAGGAACAATCTTAAATAAGTTTTCAAATAATAAATTATATATTATGTCACGAGTAAATAAGACAAAGTATTTCTGATGTCACTTTACTAATTATAGTTTAATTATTTACATAGGAAGTGATCAGTAACACAGTAAGTATGATCACTGAATATTCCCAAAATATCCTACTACAAAACTAGAATTACAACTCATAAAATCAGAGTTGCAGGTCAACAGACTATGAAGAGAATATCTTATTCAATTTACATACCTATTTCCTGAATGAATATTTACAATTTAATATTGCTAAATATGCTACAACTTACTATAGATTGAAGGCACAAAACTAATAACTTCCTCTAGGAGATGAAGAGTTAGAGGTAATCAACAACATTATTTACCAAAATAAATATCCCTATTACAACATTTATTTTCCTATCAGCTCAAGCTGGATGTCTTCCCTTGACTTTCCCTGAGTTTCTGGAACAAAATATATCACAAATGCAGTTCCCAGTATACAAACAAAGCAGAAGCCACCATATGTCACTGCTGGTCCGAAATCACGATTTACTATTGGAAACAGTTTAGTGACTGCAAATGTAAGACTCCAATTTAGACATGCAGCCATAGAACTAACCCATACCTTTGCTTCAGTTGATAGCAATTCAGCCATTATTAACCATGGTAATGGTCCAAAACCAATGGAAAAGGCAATGATGAATGTATTTACAGCTATTAATGGAATCCACCCTGCCCATGACACATCCACATGATTATTCTGCATAGTGAAATGGAGTGACAAAACCAACAAGCTCACAGCCATACCTAATTCAGAAAGGATAAGTAAAATGCGTCTACCTGCTCGATCAACTATTAGGGATGGTATATATGTGGATATTAGTTGCAGTATTCCAACTATTATAGCACAGACAGATGAAGATAAACTAGTACCAGCTTCATTAAATATGTCTACAGTGTAGTAAATAACAGCATCAATACCAGTCAACTGCTGAAAAATCATCAGGCCAAATATTATTTTGACAGCTTTAGCTGTTGGGGATGTAACAGACAGATCTGCAATGTATTCCTTAAAAACTCCGCATCTGGTGTTTTCGGTGACTTGTTTACTTTTCTTTGAAAGAGAATCATTCACAAATTTTTTCATCTGATTTAGTTCACGTTCAATATCAATGTTTTTCATTTTACCTAGACCACGAAGCCAACACAGTGATGTTTCAGCTTTATCAGTTTCACCTTTGGAGACCAGGAAAATTGGAGACTCAGGCATCCAAAAGAAAGTAACAGCAAATATGGCGGGAATGATGCAAGCAGAAATGGAAAGCCACAAATACGAGTCCAGGACGCCGATAATGTATATGTAGAGAATGCCGACATTAAACATCATGTCCATATTGACGCCTAAAGCGCCCCGGACTCTAACTTCGGCGATTTCCTCGTTGTAGAGGGGTGTCGCCACCGTAGCAGCCCCACAAGCAACACCCAAGATGAACCGAGCAATGTATAGTGAAGGCACCTGTCGACAATAAGAAGAGCAGATTTAGAAATCGTAAAGTGAGATGGGCACTATGGTAGTCTCACAAGCAACACCCAAGATGAACACAGCGATACAGAGTGAAGGTGCCTGTGGACAATAAAGAGAGCACAATCAGAAAAAGTAAAGTGAGGTAGCCAATGTGGCAGCCTTATAATCACACTTACGATGAATAAATGTAAAGCGAAGACACCTGTCAACAATTAGAAAAGCACATAAGAAATTATAATGTGGGATCATGACTGTGGTGCCCCTGCAAGCAACACCCAAGTTGAACTGAAAAATGTGTGGTAAAGGCACCTGTTGACAGTAAGAAAAGAACACCAGGAATTGTAAAGTGCAGTGGCCACTGTAGCAGCCCCACAAGCAACACCCAAGATGAACTGAGCAATGTACAGTGAAGTCACCTGTCAGCAACAGGTGAATGAAACCAGGGACTGAAGTGGGTGGTCAGTGTGGTGACCTCAAAAGAAATATCCAAGATTATCCAAGGAATGTACAGTGATGACACCTGCCAAGAGTAAGAACTACAGAGTCATAAACGCAAGCTGCCCAATTGCACTTCCTTCTTCATTGAGAGACAATAACACACAATGGTATCAGCGAAATGAAACCATGGAATATTGTGGCTGAGTGGTCAGTTAATGTACTTCATATTGTCACATATCAGTGATTAGACTAGAGGTTTGGGATGATAACTGGATTTACTGGACGTTTATAATCTGTAACTAAAAATTATTACAGCCCTCGCGCTAATTTACACTCTTCACATCAGTACAACTACAGCACGCGCAGTCTTCTGTTATTCTGTCGTAGCTAGTCGTTGCTAGGTAGTGGCTGCTAAAAATGGAGATTCTTCATGGCCATCCACGGAGTGTCACTTCTCCCTTGCAACTCACGACTACTAAAGCCAGAGTTGTGTGTTGATTCGTTGTTGTGGAAATCTGTTTACCATGTCGTTGCCTAGCAATGTTCGCCTCTTCCTGTTCCTCTATCCCAAATTTCAGGCGGAATGTTACACTGCTTCCACTTTAAGGCTGCTAGTTCGGAGTAGCCTACAAGTGTATCGCCGTTTTTTCGAACGGACGTGCCTGTGACGTCTGTGATCGTCCTGGTGAACGGCACCTCAAAGTCGTGCTGGCTCCAGCGCTTCTTCTTCCGGTCTCCACGGCGTGCAGCCTTCATTTCACGAGGGTTGGGTCTAGCACTGCTATCCCCAACTGTTTCCTCCTTAGGGCTGCTAGTCTCGAGCGTCATGGTCTTTTCTTGGGCGCGCTTCCCTTAGTGTGCTTCTGGGACCGGTGGTCTCGTCGTCATTACAGGCACCTCCATTGAGAGTTGGACCGGTGAGCTCATTTCAGCTTGATGGGCGGCCCTGGAACCCGTCCCTGCCATAAGATATGACTTGTCTCCTATTCGTCCATAGGCGTTAAGACTGTCATGGCTGTGGTTTTCCGACATGCTGAGTGTGAAACGAGGAGGCGGGAGTGATGGAACCGATGCCATCTTCGTTCCTCCGGTCTTCAGTGAGGTTTCTTCGACTGGCCCCCATGTATGGCTTTTTTTCTTTTCTTGAAAGGCCTTCATCTTCTCTTGGCCGGCTTCCACCAACTCACGAATTTATCTTATTTGGACAAGCAAGCATTCCATGATTTGCTTCAATCTTATACTAATTTCCTTATTTTTTAAACAAGAAGTTCTGGGAAGAACTAATGGCCTGCTTTCCTTTGATACAAGGACAACTTGAAAAACGACGCGTCCAACAATTCGTATATGGTTGCGTGTGCATTAGTTGCCGCGGTAACGTTTTACTGAGCCGTTACCTAGCAACGATAGGAGATAATCATATAGACACAGATTGGTGGGAGGGATTTATGAAATACGCCGTTGAGATGGATTCAGATGCCATGATATACATAACATGTTTCATAAAGATTTGTACAGGATTTGAAAAGTGGATAGGGGGGATACACAGACACACAGACGGTGATCTTATAAACCTATTTTTTTTTTCAAAATAAGGAAAGCAGAATAAAAATAAAAGTAGGCTTCTGCGATCCGTATATTATTTTCCACTAAAGAAAACAGGTGCAACTAGCAGTTTCGCGCGCGAAGAAGATTATTATCAAAGAACATTTCAGTAAATAATATCGGAATTCCTTAACTCTCTTACGTGATTTTGTAAATCAATTCTCCTGTCCTAGTGCGCATGCTTGGTCATGTTTTACGCAGAAACTGCCTTCTAAAAGAAGCTATCGAAGGAAAGATAGATGGGCGGATAGAAGTGACAAGAAGACGAGGAAGAAGACGTAAGCAGATGCTGGATGACCTTGGGGACGGAAGAGGATACTGTCATTTGAAGGAGAAAGCTCTAGATCGCATTAAGTGGAGGAATTGTTTTGAAAGAGACTGTGGACCTGTCGTCTTGACAGATTACTGATGATGATGAGTAAGGATGCAAAAAAAAAAAACCGCTCAACAAATGAATAAACTGTAAATGATCGCGTTCCAGAGGAAGCTTCGACTGCGGAACTGCAAATCGGTTCGAACAACGTGACACTTCCTAATTACGATAACGGAAAATTCTACTCCCATTTTCAAAATTGGCACAAGCATGAGGCCACAATAAAATTAATTTGATGTTGAAATGTTCCAGCTAAATTTCAAATGGAGGTGCCAGGTGCGCGTTATACTGGCCTGAGAGGTACACTTTGTCATATTCGACTCCTTTCAACTTCTATACCTGCCCGAAAAGTTTCCAGTGCTTACTGATCATGCACGAGGTTGCATAGTTGGTTGAGGCACTATGCCACAAGCCGGAAGGTCGCGGGTTCAAATCCCGATGAGGTCATTGGATTTTTTCAATTTACCTAATCCTTCCAGCCGCACCATGGCCCTGGGGTCGATTCAGCCTCTAACAGAAATGAGTACCAGGAATCTTCTTTGAATATTCTAGGGGTAAAGGGCGGCCGGTGGGTAGGGCTGACAACCTTACCGCCATCTATGAGCCGATTGTCTAAAAAATGTGGGAACCTCAACATCTCACAACCCTATGGGCCTCCACGGCCTGTTACAGGGATACCTTTACTTTACTTCTTTTTTTACTTACTGATCTTGCACAAGCTTTGTCAGAAGTACATATGTTTGCGAACAGTTCTTTTAAAAAACGAAAGCGGAAGACAGAAAATTTATAAATCGACTCGACGATAAAGGACTGGAAAGCTGTGTCCGAGTTTCTGCTTTTCAAATGCGTCCAGATACTAAAAACTTGGTGGTGGTGGGACAGAAACAAACAAACAAAGCGATGAATCTGATATTTTTTCACATTTAAGAAAGTGCAAATACTAAAAACTGTATGAATATTTTTTTGTCTCGATACTAACAATTCCCGTCGCATTATTAAAGTTTCTTTCAAAAATACGACTTTCGCTGCTATCACTTGGCTTGCGGGCCGCACAGGGTTTGAATGTCTTCAAATTGGTCCACGCGCAAAAGAAGGTAGCTCATTACTGCTTTACTGCGTATAGCACGACACGGAGAAACACTCGTTGAGACGAATGAAAGCAACGAACATAGAAGAATAGGTTACCATGTGATTTGTAATGGTTTGGTATAAATAACTGCACACACCTGCAACATCAACACTATCTACGTGTTTTCCTTCGTTAATGACCCAGTGTTGCGTAACAGGATAATGACATGGCTGTTCACGATTAACAGACGCCGCAGGTCTATTTTTTCTTTACTCATGTTCCCAATTTGGAGCATTGGGCTCACTTATCAGTTTCATGATCATTTTACAGATGGCAGGACTCCTTGGACGGGTGATCAGCTCGTCACAAGGCCTCTGCCTTAACACAGTACAACATAAACACAGAATAAACACATACACATACCGAACATCCATGTCTTGTGTGGGATTCGAACCCACGATCCCAGTTTCCGAGCGAGCGAAGACAGTACATGCCTTAGACCGCTCAGCTACCGTGACCGGCTCGTAGGCCTATAAGCCAACAAAATTGGAAAAGAAAAACTATTAAAACTATTGTGATATACATGTAAAATCATTAATAATTACTAAGATAATCAAAATTATGTCACAGTGAAAGATTGCGTGAGAAATGACGCAAGAATCTCTAACATCTCATACTCACGCATCTTTATAGGAGACACTTCGAGCCATTACAATTCTTATTACGTAAATACGTAGCAAGGCCCATCAAACTTAACAAGTTTGACAGGAGTCTGACTTTACATGTTTTGATCACTACTGCTCCTCAACAAAAGGCGTAGTCAACACCATAAAGAAAGAATTTACATACGTGATTGAAAATATGGTGTCATACGTCGAATTATATTAGCATTATATAACTAAAATGTTAATGTAGTCATATTCTATATTCTCCTATTAAACTTGTTACACTTAACGACATTGCTACTTACCGATGTTCGTTCACAGATTTAACTGTTCGAATCCAAATTCAGACAACGAAGTCTTTCTTGTCTTCACACTACCAATTCAGAAAAAATACTGTCACGTGTATAAGTGACTAAAGACGGTGTCTGGAATGGCAACTGGATTGCCTGAACACCTGCGGATCGTAAATGTTGCGCTACTGATAATTCACAAACTCTACAATTCACTACAGCACGTACTAAGTCTTCTCGGTCTGCTGTATCTTCATCGATTGTCGCCTGGTAACGGCTTCCAACGCCGTAGCTTCCTCAACTTCCGTGTTCATGCCCTTACTGGCCGCCGACTGTCTCAGAACTAACTAAATTCTAAGCGGCCTCCGTAGTCTAGGGGTAACGTTCCCACCTCATGACTCAAGGTACGCGGGTTCAAACCCGGCGGAGGTCCTCGAATTTTTAAGGGCGGAAAAATTCAGGGAACAAGTCCTCCGGGAGGGACTTTAAGCCGTGGGTCCCGTGTCGTAGATTTACGGCACGTAAAAGGACCTCATGTCTCTAGGAGACCTCTGAGCTAAATTAGGCAAAAAGTTTCCCGCCCAAGTACTAGTTTCCAATGCCTCCGGTAGATGGGGAAGTATTAGGTACGGCTTCCAGAGGAGGGCCGACCTCGCTGAGAGAAAGGGACTAATTATCAGATACCACTGCCAGTAGAGGGGCCAAACCTCGCTGGTAGAAAGGGGCTGATAGCGAGCACCAGTACCGGTAGGGTATGGAGACAGTAGAAATTAAAAACGGGGGATGTACAATAGACTATTAGTCGCGGTGCATCGGGAAACCCACCCCCTCAATACTGGATAACTGGGAACTGAATTCTAGACTTGTCCTGCTTATATCACCTCGGCACGGAACGTATAGAAAACACCACTCCCAACAATACTTCTACTATTGCATCATGTAGCTATCTTAAGGACCGCGTAGAGAACACCGCCTCCCATTTACTCCATTGTTACGTGTTACGAATTTGTTGTGGCCATTAACTAGTAACGGCCGTAGTTTACAGAGCCATGCATAGCAATGGCTAATGCATAGCTGCTTATTTTGCGGTCGTTGCCTAGCAACGGGTCTACATGCCACATCATCATCTAACCACGATACGACGTTTGATCATTTTAGTAACGGGAAACTCCTTTTCTGGACCGCCGATGTTGAAAATTGTGTGTGGATTTACCTCCATCCATACAAACATCTTTCTGGTGTAATGTTAAAGGACAGGGACAAACTTACCTTTCAGTGTCACAGTAACTGGCAAAGAATCTCAGTCAGTCATCCATATGTAACATTCAGGACTCCGCTTTTCTGTTAGTGATGATTCTATTCGCAATTACAATTGCCCAGAAAATCGAAAATGTCGGAGAAGTGCCCTGTTTTCGGATTTAGATGTAATTCTTTGGACACATCTGCATAATTTCTATCTTCTAAATTATAATTCGCCAGTCACGGTAGCTGAGCCGTCTAAGGCGTGCACTGTCTTCGCTCGCTCGGAAGCNTGGAGGCGATACGTTCCTCCGAAACGTCGGTTAACACCACTTATACACGGTGCCAAATCCCAAAAGACTGCTTTCTTCTCAGACAAAGGTTTGTTTAACAGGGCTTGGACAGAACTGAAATTCCGTTAAGACATCTCCCGAGATACGAANAAGTGAACGGAGTTCATGGAGGTAGACCTAGGCCCACTGGGGCTGTAGTGCCAAGGACAAAAAAAAGATAATTCAGTGTGAAAAACGTCTGTTTCGAATGGAGTGTTTAAGGAAAAGTAAAAAATTGTTAATTTTAAATATTACAGGCAATCGCTCAAATTAAATATTTATTTTTAACTGTCGGTGGCTCAAGACGTAAGCAGACAAAGGTTTGTAAGATTTGTTTCTTTCACGGCGGTGACTATGAAGAAAGCAGTCTTTTGGGATTTGGCACCGTGTATAAGTGGTGTTAACCGACGTTTCGGAGGAACGTATCGCCTCCATCTTCAGGGTAGAAGAAAATATAAGAATTCTGCAAGCGAAGAGACCGTGAGAACCGNNNNACTGGAGGCGATACGTTCCTCCGAAACGTCGGTTAACACCACTTATACACGGTGCCAAATCCCAAAAGACTGCTTTCTTCTCAGACAAAGGTTTGTTTAACAGGGCTTGGACAGAACTGAAATTCCGTTAAGACATCTCCCGAGATACGAAAGTAGAAAACAAAAAGAAAGGAAAGGAAAGAAGAAAAGAAAAAAAAAAGGAAGAAGGTAATGCTATCCCTGCAACAGGCCGTGGAGGCCCATATGGCTGTGAGACGTTGAGGATCCCGCATTCTCCAGACAATTGGCTCACAGATGGCGACGAGGTTGTCAGCCTTAGCCCCAGGAAGGTTCTTGGTACTCATTTCTGTTACTCCCAAGAAAAGCTTAGGGATACGAATGTTCTCCGTCATCTGGTGCAAGTTTTACATTCCTGCCCTCTGTACAACCATGGACTTAAATTTCTTGCACTGTTAAGTAAGTTCATAATATTCAAAACCGGATTGCTGGTAATTATTTTAAAAACAATCTACATACCGAATCTTGAGCAATGATGATTGTCATCCAACCCAAAAGCAAGGGCACAGTCAAAAACAGCAGCAACTGTCTTCGTCCTATGATATTCGCCAGATAGCCTGCCGGCATGGCTCCAATTAGACCTCCAAGGGGTGCTAGAGATCCGATCCAAGAGGCTTCGTCGTCGGTTATCACGTGGTGGAATGAGTCGTTGGAAGAGTTGTATCCTCGTGACAGCTCACAGTCCTGCAGGAGAGGCAGTGCCGGTGACGTCCAGCCATCAACGGTGCCCACACATACGGCAAAGAGTGTGGCTAGGGGACATAAGAAATACAATTATAAAATATGCTGACATAGTACTAATTTTATATAAATATTAAACTGTCAATATCTGTCAATAGTTCAGCTCCCTATAAATATTTAATTGCATATACAGAGATCATCTAGCATTGTCAGGAAAGCGAAATCTAGTGAACTACCACAGACTGGGCATGTGGCTAGGATGCAGGAGATAAATAACGAAAAAAAAAGAATGTTATTGGGGGGTTGAAATCTGTCGAAAAACATCCACCTGGAAGACCAAGAAGCAGTTGCGAAGATAACATTAATATGGACTTTAGGGTGAGAGGATGTGAGGGTCGGAAGAAGGTGGGTGGGGCTTTGAGATTAGCGGTGTTGGATATTCGGTTTCGGTTAACAAAGTGTCAGCAGGTGGGGCTTTGAGATTAGCGGTGTTGGATATTCGGTTTCGGTTAACAAAGTGTCAGCAGGTGGGGCTTTGAGATTAGCGGTGTTGGATATTCGGTTTCGGTTAACAAAGTGTCAGCAGGTGGGGCTTTGAGATTAGCGGTGTTGGATATTCGGTTTCGGTTAACAAAGTGTCAGCAGGTGGGGCTTTGAGATTAGCGGTGTTGGATATTCGGTTTCGGTTAACAAAGTGTCAGCAGGTGGGGCTTTGAGATTAGCGGTGTTGGATATTCGGTTTCGGTTAACAAAGTGTCAGCAGGTGGGGCTTTGAGATTAGCGGTGTTGGATATTCGGTTTCGGTTAACAAAGTGTCAGCAGGTGGGGCTTTGAGATTAGCGGTGTTGGATATTCGGTTTCGGTTAACAAAGTGTCAGCAGGTGGGGCTTTGAGATTAGCGGTGTTGGATATTCGGTTTCGGTTAACAAAGTGTCAGCAGGTGGGGCTTTGAGATTAGCGGTGTTGGATATTCGGTTTCGGTTAACAAAGTGTCAGCAGGTGGGGCTTTGAGATTAGCGGTGTTGGATATTCGGTTTCAGTTAACAAAGTGTCAGCAGGTGGGGCTTTGAGATTAGCGGTGTTGGATATTCGGTTTCAGTTAACAAAGTGTCAGCAGGTGGGGCTTTGAGATTAGCGGTGTTGGATATTCGGTTTCAGTTAACAAACTGTCAGCAGAACAGAAACAACAAATGGAATGGATGCAAATAACAACAACAGTTTACTTTAATATAAGAAGATATTAACATATTTTACTACAAGCAGTGTACGTGGTAATACGATTTTTAACAGAAAGCATGACAGGTACTGATATAAATTAAGATATTTTCACAACAGAACTAATAATGTACAAGTAATCAAAACTCCTTACGTCTGACTATATCCAGGTGCACCTGACGATGGCCGATATAAGCCCGAAATATGTCGGGTAAATAAAATAAGTAAAATAACTACGAGGAATTCCATTTGACGGTTTTACCTGTTAACAAAATTATATAAAATGGGGTTTAAAACGAAACATTGAAGCAAAATTGTATTTCTAAAAATGTATATAATCTTATGGCATTTTATACTGCTAGGCTTATAAGTCGGGCAATGTTATCTCAAGACGTCAGAAACACTGACCGAATAAATATAAGTCCAATGGAATATACGAGGGACAGTCAGTAAATAGGTCACAAATGGATATAAAACGTAAAACATGTGATATCTGAACCTAGAAAAAGTATTCATTTCTCGACATATCCTCCACAAACATTGATACACTTGTCCCATTGGTTTACAGGTGCTTCCGCACCTGATCGTGAATTACGTGCGACTTTCCAACGTCGTTGAAAGAATTTCTCGACCTGGTTGTGAACCGCCTTACAACGACAAACATTTCTCATCGTAAACAGGAAATATTTTTGTATGAATATCCTCTGCATTCAGTCCGTTTGCCCATAAAAATCTCACAATTGAACGCTGCTCTTCGATAGTACACACTCAGGCACGGTCGCCATTTTGACTACTGAAACAAACTTCTGCTACCTAGACTGTCATGAAGCTGGTCTGTGCTGCTACATAGTGATACACATACAAAAACCTATTACGTCCATTACAGCTATTTTACTTCCATTTTCAATTGTAAGATCGTAACACTATAACTGAGGAGCTGTTTCAAGGAAATAGCGGCTCCGGCCTAGAAAAATGAGATTAATGACCGTGGGGATCCGTTGTACTGACCACGTGACACCCTTTATCCGCAAAAATTGGCATTAACTTTGCCGACAAGAGGCGGTCGCTCGGTCGGTATAGTTCGCTTGCGGACTACTGGCCACGGAGTGTTTTTTCTTCTTTGTGACCTATTTACTGACTGTCCGTCGTATTAATGAATTCTGGCCAAGAAAATTTTTTTAGAAAAGTCTTAATAATGTCCGCAATAATATTTGCAATTAATATTTTTACCAACACCCATTTTGTTCCCTGCCAGACTTAGTCCGACAATATATACAATTTTACAATTGAGAATTAAGTATATAAATCAAAATGTTTTGAAATAGTGAAATAAACCGATGTGAAGAGAGATAGACTCTGGGAAAATCAGATTCCAACCTAGCGGAGGATCGAGATCCTGAGATGGAGTTACGAAGAAGATATAATGGATCTGTTGGAGGATCACATGGAAATAATCATGAACAACAAACAGTTACAAACAGGAATACACATAATAAATGAATGGAAAATGTCATTCGCATGCGATGGATTTTAATGTGAATGTGATCTACAATATCAGACCTCCTGGTTTCTTTTTGTCTTAAACATATATGTGTAACACACATTTAACAGCTTTATATTAGAAATAATTATATAAGGGTTATATAAAGATCTTCTTAACATATAATTTACCTAAAGTTGCTGCTAAATATTGAGGCCATTTTTTACTGTCCTCGAGCAGATATTCTGTCGACTCTACCCCTTCTCCGATAGGCTGTTCCATTGTGGAAGGTACTTGTATTTCAGAGTGCGTGTTGTCGTTTAGGTGATGAACCACATATGCAGTGGTTCTCGAAATACTTCCGCTACAAAACAAAGGGAAAGATCTTTAAGACACATGAGCATTCTCCTCCTCAGTGGCTTGTGCATGAGGTTATGAGGTTACCTCTTCTGAATTCAACTTCTCAACTGCATTTCTCAAGAAAGAGCAAAGGTAAAGGCAAAGTTGCCACTGTTCCAAAAGCACTCCGGCTCGAATGCGTATAGGGGGCATGGTGGCAAAGCTCTATGCATTCTCGATATCGGTATTACACGGAGGCGAATGGTAAGCTTGAGACCCAGGTCCACTTTACCTCCATGGAAAGTGTCCCCAGGAGTAACTGTTCTTTCTATGTTAATGTCTCCATTAGTAGAGTCTGAGAAAGAGAAATTTCCTCATGATCATGTCATTTAGTGATATACAGTATTCACAGCTCATTTACGATGGAACATATTTCTATTGCTTGCTTTTTATTTGTGGTTCATTTCAACTCGCTGTCAGTATCTCAGATTGTATGGCGACGTAAGGCAGGAATCTGGCGAATATTAAACTGAAAAGGACATGAAAAAGAAAGTCATCGTGATCTAACTGATGTACGGGTAATATACTGCCATTTTCCTGGAAAGAATGAGGAAAACTGAAAATTTTCCATCAGAATAGTCGATGTCCTGGCCAAGATTAGAACCGGGCACCTCACAAATACAAATCGGAAGCGCTACTACTTCTTCCACCGAGTTGTTATTGTTAAAATAATAATTATCATTACTTTAATTATTGTAATTATTTAAATGACATTAATTAGTTTGTGTGTCTTTCGTGTGTGTATATTTTTACTCGTGCTTATTCTGAAATTGACCACTGGGCTGTTAAGTCAGCAAGTAAATATAAAAAGAATTTAACCATTAGTAGGGATAGCTCAGTATAGTCACTGGCTGTGGGTTGCATGACCAAGATCCGGTTATCGGCCACGGCAGAGACTTCTCTACGCTAGCGACACCAGAGCGTCTCTGGGACTCATTTGATAGATACTGGAGACCCTTCACCCCTGTGAAACTAACCATTCGTCTGCAACCAATACTGAACTTTGACTCCCTAAACACCTTCGTGGAGAGTTCCTTTGGTACAGTAGCAACTTTATGCAAATTCAGTAAGTCGAATTCAAGAGTTAATATAAAACACAGCGATTACCTGTACCTGTCTTATAAGAATGTTAGGCCAACGGTGCCGCCTGGTGCCTTGGAGGTGATTATTATATGCATGCATTTACATCAACACTCATTGGTACTTATTCATTTTTATTTACGCACACTGCTGGTATCTCGAACAATATGGAAGTACTGCACTTCATCCGAAATGTGGGACTGTTAGGGAGTCAACCAGGAACGGGAACACAACGCACAACAAAGGACGGTAGGTATGTAAGTGCTGATAAGGCTCACCCATTAATAAATGAATAAATCAGTAAAACGCAGATAACACAGTGTCAAATAACAGGACGCTTACTCAAAAATAAACTGTAAAAGACGTACAAAGATTAGATGGGGGCCTAACTTGAGGCACTACCCCAAAATTTATCTCACACAAGATTGAGGAACACCACCAATAACGTTAGTCTCTGGGACGAGATCCGAACATGGAACCTTCCGATATAAAGCACGGGTACTACCCACATGACCGTGGCGTCTCTTTCGCAATTATGACTTCTGCCTACGCACTGTCATTGTCGTCATTGTCAACTTCAGAACGCTTGAAACGGCGCTGCTATAATTATTGAGGTTACACGCAATGCAGGTTGGGAAGATAATAATTAGTGAAAGTTAAACAGGATTTGGAAGGACCCCCATACACGCACAGTTTGGCCTGTCCCTTTCCTTCCCCATAACGCGCAGATAAACCGGCAGGCTCCATGCCACGGTCACGGTCTTCCAGCCTATATTGCCGAGTGCAGTGCAGTCTTGGTTAGTTGTTAAAAACTTGTCTACAGTTGATGAACTGTTTGCATATGCAGCTATCGCGTGTGTATTGCAAGTTATGGACCAAACAGTGGTTAGAAAGAAACCCGTCCAAGGTCTCTTCTTGGTCTACCAGGAACAACAAATCTTTGTAGTACTGTAATGTCGTTGCCGCCACCGGTGATGTCGTAAGCGTGGTCTCTCGATGACAGCTAGACGTCACAATGTCGATGCCTCAGGATGTTATAGACTTCGACGATAATTAGGGATAGTCACGGAGACTTGTAGGTAGGCAAGGAAATCTAAGTATTCTTGGTTGCAACAAGAGATCTCGCTTTACTGAATCAAACAGACCAGCGTGGTGGAAGTACAAAGTATAAAGTTTAACTGTAGAGAAGCAGAGCTTCGCCCTCTATAATGTGACCAGAAGATCTGATCCCGTGTGTTTTCACACGTGCCTTCTTATAGGACCAAACTGGGCGTTGGCTCACAGGAATGCACTCACATCTCCCCTCCAAAATGCATTAGGGTCAGCTGTGCATTAAGGTTACAAGAAACAGAACTCTCAGAGCCTTAGCCCGAGCGTGGGAGAGAGCTTTAAGTTTGTGTCTCAACCCCAGATTCCTCCTATAATGCGTTTAAAGTGCAAAATACAATTCAAAATGTTACACATAAATACACGTAAGATGGTTTCCTTATTGGAAGACCCGGAAGGAGGGTCCTGACAGATTCATGGTAATGGACCAGAACTACTTAGGTTACTTAAACCCTTGTCTAAAAGCTTCCTCAAGAGTGTCGCCTGTCCTGGCTTGCTATACTGATTACACATGGTTTCCTGCAACCCTCGGTCCGAGGTACACTCTTGTTCTTATAACATTACAATAGTTACAGTGGCTTGTTAATCACATTAGTATCTTCATTATACGTTACCACAAATGTTATTACTTATAATATTATTCACTACTACATTCTACGTTTCCCTATATTATGGTTACATGATTAGTTGACATTGGTTTCAAAGTTAACAATTATTAGCAAGTTACATACATCATAACATGTATTACACATTACAGTACCACAATTTCGGGACATGAGGTCTTCGCTACTCATTCCAGATTTCTTAGCCATCAATACTTTCTTCCGTTCCTTTCTCAAACTGCTATGTAGATTGTTGATCTTTTTCAACACAGTTTCCTTGTTAGCTTGGGGATCATTTGTTTTAACTTTTTTCGTCAGTGTTGAATAAGCACTCTCTTCCTTCTCACGGTTGTGATTTTCTTTGCTCTTGACCTTCCAAATAGACGGATGACCACGAAATTCTTCAATAAATTCCAGTAAAAAGCCCGTCGACCATGTCGCCATAGCACCAACTACAAAATCACGGTGCAAGTTTCAACGTTCTTAAGAAATGACACACAACGCGAAACAGTACTGAAGAACACGAGACAGCAGCAACTGAGCGATTGGCCTTCCGGTATCATCACACACGTGCGTTCCGCCTGTCACATGCTACGTCCTGCAGGTAGAACTGACGGATTTCCAACAGTCCAAACGATTGGCCGGCCGGCCGCACCACACACATCAGTTTTGCCTTTCAGTCTTCAACTGTGCAGGCCGAACGGGAGGCCAAACTGCGTGTGTATGGGGGGCCTACCATAGCTCAAGCGGTTAGTCGCTGGCTTCCCACCGCGGCGGCCCGGGTTCAATCCCGGGTCTGGTCAAGTGGGATTTGTGGTGGACAAAGTGGCGTTGGGGCAAGTTTCCTCCGAGTACTTCGGTTTCCCCTGCCAAGCTTCATTCCACCAATTGCTCCACAATCACCCTCACCTATCATCTGGGGCTGGTACAATAGGCCAGAAGTGGCCGCAGTACGAGGGACTTAGTCCCACTCCACTAGAAGTAAAAAAATAATTGGGGGCCTAATGACATTGAGGGAAACTCCAAGATCCTCAGTCACGATGTCCGGCATCCGGCAGAGACTGCAAACGGGTAGCTTTCGATACAATTCTAGATCGTCACAACAAATTTCTTGGAGTTACTGTTGTCATTACGTGTATATTTTCCAAGTATATCACTGATAGATAGTCTCTATATTCCAAATGTCTTGAGGGGCTGAGGCCATATGAGTAGTAAACCAAAGCCAATCAGACGCAGGCTTGTTCTTGTGTGTAAACCATCCGTAGAGGGGAGGGTGGACCTCGCTAATTTTGCAGTACGGTTAATTCTGCAGAATTTAGAACATTATTTCACTACGCATCTTGATCAGTGGAAATGTGTAATATACCGTACTGGCTTCAGGGGCCGACAGCTTCCGAAAATACAAAAATATGCAGGGATTTGTTACGCTAGATACATCCAACGGAAATTCGCCGACTTGTAACACATTTACAGCCGATACTCCTGCTTCTTGCATAATAAGACGGCAGAGCAATTGTGTTTACACAGCATGCGCCAAAACATTCAGTACTGAAATGAAGAGACGTCCTGTTGATACCACTGTCTATTCATGTGAAGGCCCCTTGCAAGACAGAACCTTCTCAAATCCTGAAGGAACGGTCCGATCACCATGTACCTGTAGCGTTCTTGGGTGATGGTAACAGCATTGCCTTCCTAATCCTCAATGAAATAGGGGCCTAATATGCCGTGTGCTGAGACGGCACACCATATCGTCACACGTGTACTGTGTAGCGGCTTCTGGACGATAACATCTGGCCGCTCAAAACCAAGGAAGTGAGTTGTCTGGCGACCACTTCCGTATGAGCGGAAATAATACTGAACTATGAATACTTTTTCTTCCGTCGAGAGACCCATTTCCAACAACAACTGCACAACACAACTTCCTTTTCACTACTGGGAACACGTGCGGCTGGAGCTATGCCCCGTCGACAAATGCACATGCGCGTTCGAGATGCGCGAGTTTCAGTATTGTTTAATTTTGGGGCATACTGTATATCCTGAATTCAAATGTTGTATCTTCTGGGATATACTGCGGTGTAGTCCGTTGAAAGTAAACCACCATTCGGAGGAACATGTCATAATCGTTCTCGGGGTCTAAGAATAACCCAAGAAGAAACTAATATGAAGCATGTAGCAA